GTAGCTGCCCCAGAGCTAATGGACAGGGGAACATGCCAGGAGGACGCGCCGCGAAACGTCCCAAGGGATGCGCCAGGCGACGTGCCAGGGGACGTGCCATGGGGTCGCACCGCGGGACGTGCCAAGGGGACGCGCTACGGAACGTGCCAATGGATGTGCCACGGGATGTGCCAGGGGACGCGCGACGCGACGTGCCAGGGGGACTCGCCAAAGGACGCCCCACGGAACGTGCCAAGGAACGTGCCAAGTTGCAATGCTGAGTGCATCGACCTTGATGTACCGTGCCGAAATCAGTGCTGTGCTGCGCCGTGCTGAATTGCGATGTGCCATGGCGCGATTGTGCTCTATAGCCTCGTGGATCGAGTCCTCCTTTGCATCCGAGTCCTGACCGAACTGATCTGGATCTTAAGCTCGAGCTGCCTGAACACATAGTAGCTGCCCCAGAGCTAATGGACAGGGGAACATGCCAGGAGGACGCGACGCAGAACGTCTCAAGGGACGCGCCAAGCGACGTGCCAAGGGACGTGCCATGGGGACGCATCGCGGGACCTGCCAAGGGGACGCGCTACGGAACGTGCTGGGGACAAGCGTTTCGCTCGAGACATCCTGTCAAAATCATCTGAATTCCTACGCGCGGGACGCTGCACGCGCGAGACATCCTCGGAATTCCTGCGAGCGGGACGTGAAAACAAGCATTTCGCCTGAGACATCCTTTGAATTCTGGCCCCCCACGAGGCCACCGCTCGAGACATCCTCCAATTTTGCAAAACCAGCGTTTCGCTCGAGACATCCTCAACAAATTATGAAAAACAAGCGTTTCGCTCGAGACATCCTGTCAAAATCCCAAGAAATCCAAATACCCGCGCGCGGGACGCGGCACGCGCGAGACATCCTTGGAATTCCTGCGCGAGGGGCGCTTTTCCGTGTCGCGGTCGGCTCTGCAAAACCAGCGTGTCGCTCGAGACATCCTCAACAAATTCTGAAACCAAGCGTTTCGCTCGAGACATCCCCAACTCTGCAAAACCAGCGTCTCGCTCGAGACATCCTCAACAAATTCTGAAAAACAAGCGTTTCGCTCGAGACATCCTCAAAAATAATTTCGCCGGCCCTACTCCGTGCGTGCCGCTCGCAAAATAATTTCGCCGGCCCAAGTCGCAGGGGGGCTGGGGGGTAAACCTACTAAAAGAGAACCCTGGGCCCGCGCCCTTTCCGGGAAAAATGGTCCCACGACAGGTCGTGATCGACTTCCTGTACTCCCTCCCTACCAATGCGAGGGCAGCAGCCGGTTGGCGCTTGCACCCTGCCAGCCTCGGCAGGCCTGACTGGCCAGCCCGGAGCGGCCGAGGGCCCCGACTCGGCCAGACACCCGGATGGCTTGACGGGCGCCTCGAAGAAACAGCTCGTGGCCCGCGTCGAGCGGTTGGGGGGGCCAGAGCAAGATGGCCTGGAGAGCTCACTGCGCGCAGTTCTGCGGCAACGCGCTGGACCCATGGTGGCGTGGCACCGCGGTGCAGTCTCCTGTGGTGGGCGGTCAAGCACCAGACAAGCGCCGATCTGTCGTGGTTTTGCCCGTGGACACGGCAATCGCTCGCTCTCGTCACACGCCGATTCGTCGCCTGTTGTGCCCTGTTTCTCGCCACTCCCCCGCCCATGTTTCGGCTGGTCAATATCTCCCAGAGGAGGGGGAGCGAGGCCGACAAGACGTTCGAGGGCGACATCGTGCTGCGAACGGCGGCGTGAGCCGGTCTGAAACTATGCCTTGCCCCCAACCGTGCTCTGCGACTAGTTGCTCTGGGCACGCGCCGGTCTGTCGTCTCCTGCCTTTGCCATGTGTCGCCCGTGCTTCGCTTGTCCTTGCTTCGCCACGCCTGGCGTTAGGCCCCGTGGCGCTCTGTTTTCTGTCGGAGGTGGCGCGGCGTTCCCGCCACCCTCCGGCGACTCACTCCTCCGCGGTGAATCGTCGGTCCCCTCCTCCTCCTCCTCCTCGGGGGTCGCGGGGTTCGCTCGGTCTTCGCAGTCGTCGGTCGGTCGTGGGCTCGGCCGCGTCGTGGGGTCCCCGCCGTCGTCTCTCCGGGCTCCCCTCATGCCTCTTCCCCTGCTTGCTCTGTCCCGTCCCCTCTCCTCTTCCTTCCGGGTCGTCCCCACCGCGGGGGGTTGCCCTGCTTCTGCGTGCACGCCTGGCTGTTTTTGCCAGCGTGGTACGCCTCTATTGTGCCCTTGTTCCTCCTTCCTCCTGTTTTCCTTCTCTACGGGACGTCCTTGTTCGATTTGGTGGCGACCTTGACGTCGGTGCGTGCAGCGCACCTCGCGTCTTTACCGTGCTGCCCGAACGCCACCCTACCGATCGATTTCGGTCGGCGCCTGTATTGTAGCCTGTTTTCGGCCAGCCTGGACGTGCCATTGACACTGGCCTCTCTTGGTTGCTTGGCTACCCACCGAGGGTTTTACGGCATGGCGATTTTGGCTGGTTTCGGCCCCACATGTGCGTGTTTTTACGTGTACTGCGTTCCGTCAAAACCAATCTATGCTGTCTTAGCGTCGGGCCCGCTGTTGTGGTACTGCCGCAGCCTGTAGGTCTAGCGCTCCACCAATGCTGTGTGTCGCCGGTTCGTAGGGAAGACCCTGCTTATCGTCTCGCCAGGCCAAAGCTCTCAGCGTCACCTCACCGATCGGTTGGTCTGGCAGCTTTACAAGTTGTAAGTTGCACCGACGTTTCAGGCTGCCTTGAGTCGAGCTATCGTGCTCCTCGGGCCGTTGCACGCTCTTTAAGTCATCATCAGCCGGTGGCTCTTGGCCTTAATTTGCACCAGACTGCTCGCGTTCCAGTTAAAATTGAGTCGAGCTCGTTCTGCGTACTCCTCGGCTTCAGGCCGCTGCACGCTTTTGGGGTCTCAGTCCCATCACTACACCACCCATTCTCTGCAGTCTGCATGGCGGTGGCTGGATTATTTCATCATGCCGCGTTCGACTAAATTAGTTCGCAATTGGCATTTCCCCCTGCCGACCGCGCCTGAGGCTCCTCTGCACTGCCGATTTTTAGAAAGCGTGTGCGTGTGTGTGTGTGTGTGTGTGTGTGTGTGTGTGTGTGTGTGTGTGTGTGTGTGTGTGTGTGTGTGAGAGGGTTAGTCTGTGAGTGAATGCGGAATGCGTGTGAGATGATGATGATGATGATGATGATGATGAGGATGATGATGCTGCTGATGATGATGATGATTGTAGTGGTGATGGTTGTGACGATGGTGATGATGATGATGATGATGCTGATGCTGATGATTCTCATGGTGTGGTGTGGAAGAGACGCGAAGGGAAGGGGCTCACGCTCGATACTTCCTCGCAATCCACTCACAGACGATGGCGATGACGCGGCCACATGATGTGTGAGGAAGTAGTCGGGAACTCTGTGACTGTTCTCGTAATGATAATGATGACGAAACTCATGTTGGCCGATGATCATAATGGGATGGTGGTGATGATGACGATTGTGGTGTGATGGCGATCGAGATGATGATGATGATGATGATGATGATGATGATGATGATGATGACGATGGCGATGACAACGTGGTGGTGCTGATGATGCTGATGCTGATGCTGATGCTGATGCTGATGATGGCGATGATGATGATGATGATGATGATGATGATGATGATGATGATGATGATGATGATGATGATGATGATGATGATGATGATGATCGTGCAGATGATGATGATGATGATGGTGACGACGGCGATGGTGGCGCTGATGCTGCTTTTGTTGATGATGGTGGTGGCGGTTATGATGATGCTGATGATGATGACAATTGTGATTATGATGGTGATGATGATGATGATGATGATGATGATGATGATGATGTTGATGATGATGATGATGATTCTTATGATGATGATGCTGATGATGATGATGATGATGATGATGATGATGATGATGATGTTGATGCTACTGATGACGACGATGATGATAACGATGACGGTGCTGCTGCTGATGACGATGATGATGGTGATGATGGTGACGATCATGCTGATGATGCTGCTGCTGTTGATGATGGTGGTGGTGGTTATGATCGTGTTCGTGTGAAAGTAGCAGAGGATAAGATGGGGGTGGGTGTTCCTACGCGGGGTGTCCAGAAAACAACAACCCCACTGAGGATGTGGGGAACAATCCAGACATCGCATGTCTGGGTCGTCAGCTCGACCAGGAAGCCAGTCGCCCTAGACCCCCAAGAAACCCTCGAGGGGTCGTCAGCTCGTCCAGGAAACGAACTGCCCCCACCAGGCCAGGACTCCCACGGATGCCCCAAAGGCGTCTAAAACCTGGTCGATTCTCGATCCTCCCCTCTCCACGATTATCGATTTCCAACAAGGGCGAGCGACCCCTCCAGAAATCCGCGGGGCTCCCAAGAATGCCACAAAGCGTCCCAAACCTGATCGAGCCTCCCTCCTCCCTCCTCCTCGACTCCTCGATCGGTGCCCACTGGCGTGGCCCTGGCCCAATGGCCGACTTACCCTCGGGGGTATAGGCTATTCCCTTCGGACTTCGCGGGGCCAATCCCCCCCCGGGGGGCGGGCTGGCGGCTGAGATACCATGTCCCAGTGGGGATCGGGATCGGTCAGACGATGCTGACCCTTCCCTGAGATCCGACGTCGCAACGAACGTCGAAACATCTTCAGAAATCACGGCCAGCTCCCCGGACCCCATCTTCCCGCGCCACTCTTTGAGGCGGATCGACCTGCGAAGGCCCGGGGGCCCGAAAGTCGGGCCAAAACGCCCGTTGTGAGCGAACATGCGACTCATGGATCTCAAGCGTCTGGGCTCGCCCTGCTTTGGCCCGGGGGGCCCCAACCTCTCGACCACTTCCCCGGGACCAGTTTTTCACCCCGAATCGTTTTCTGAGGGCCCCGAGGCCCAACAAGGGCTTCGCAAGGCCGAAGATGATGGCCTCACACCTCCCGTCGTGATTTTTCAACGACGCCTGGATCTCAGGGTTGGCACTGCCCAGGCCTCGATCAGATGCAGCGGCTGGAGCGTTCGCTGGTCTGGTGCCGCCTCGTCACGGCGCGGTGCGGCTGCCTCGGGCGCGAGGTCCGCGGCCGCTCTCGGGAAGAGCTCCGCGGCTGGTCTGGGGCGTGCCTGTCCGGGCAGCTCGGCGCGACGTCGTCGTCGTCGCCGCCGCCGCCGCCGCCGCCGCCGCCGCCGCTGCCGCTGCCGCTGCCGCCGTCGTCGCCGCCGCCGCCGCCGCCGCTGCTTCCGCCGCCGCCTCCGCCGCCGTCGTCGTCGTCGTCGTCGCCGCCGCCGCCGCCGCCGCCGCCGTCGCCGTCGCCGTCGTCGTCGTCGTCGTCGTCGTCGCCGTCGCCGTCGTCGTCGCCGTCGCCGTCGCCGTCGCCGTCGTCGTCGTCGTCGTCGCCGTCGCCGTCGCCGTCGCCGCCGCCGCCGTCGTCGTCGTCGCCGTTGCCGTCGTCGCCGTCGCCGTCGCCGTCGCCGCCGCCACCGTCGCCGTCGTCGTCGTCGCTGTCGGCGTCGGCGTCGCCGCCGCCGCAGTCGGCGTCGGCGTCGGCGAAGGCGTCGGCGTCGGCGTCGCCGTCGTCGTTGCGGCGGGCCGGCCGAGTCGAGGCAGCCTTAGCTTGGATCTTGTTGGAAACAGGGAGAAGAGACGCGACCTCCCGGCGACACAATGAGGCCAGTGCGAGTCCAGGGGTCGGCCTCCTGAGAGGGCGGGGGTCCCCTCACGAGGGCCTGCGGGCTCGCAGGAAGGCCCCTGCCAGGAGGGCGGCGGGGCAGCTCGACTCTGCCCGAATGATGGTGTGGATGGCAGTGTACCTCGGACGAGTGCAACCCTCGTGGAACCACGAGGAGCGCCGAACAGGGAGCGGAGGCGCTTTTCCGGCCACGGCGAGCCTTGGCCAAGAGTGGGCTCCCCGGCCGATAGCCCAAACCCCTGACGTCGTTTTCTTGTGTCACAGGACGTGGCCCCCCCTCCGAGGCCTGGACCCATTCCCCCGGGACCAGCTTTTCATCCCGAGCTCCGAGAGGCCGAAAACTGTCAAAAACCTTCCGTCGTGTTTTGCTGATCCGACGGGGTCTGGGATCTGAGGGCCGGCCCGAAAGCCATAGCCCCTCCTGGGTCCAAAGCGGCCCCTGTTCCAGCCGCCTGGGCCGCGCCACTGGCGCGCGGAGCGCGCCAATGGCGGCGCTGGAGGCAAGGACCATAATAGGCCTTACCAGTGAGGGCCGCCATGAGGCCTCACACCCTCCGCATCTTCCATCATAGGGCTGCGGGGGGCAAATCCCCACGATCCTAGCACCGACGACGGACGTCGAGGACCACGCAGATAACGACCACGACTGGGACTACCAGTACGAGTGGCCGTAGCTGCACGAGTGCAGGTGTGTACGTGCGTGGGCCCTTTCAAAGGGCTGCCCTGGGGGGAGGAGTGAGGTGTTCGACGGGGGCGTGACGCCGCGAGGTGGCGGCGGGTGCGGCGTGACTCCCCGCCTGTGGACCGCCCGCTCCTTCTGATAGTGAAATCTCTCGTGCTTGGGTTTGGACGGTGGTTTTAGTTTCCCTCACTGCCCCTCTCAGGTGCTTTTCTTCCCCCCCCACCGGTGAGGACCATCATAGGCCCTAGCAATGAAGACCGCCATGAAGCCTCACACCCTCCGCAGCTCCCGTCATAGGGGCCGCGGGGGGCAAATCCCCACGAACCTGGCACCGTACGTGCAGTGCCAGGGCTGGCGGCCCGTCTTCCCGTCCCACCATCATGAGGGGATGCGAAGTCCCTGAAGACGGGACGGGGGGGGCACGAGCGGGTATCACAGCCGGCTCAAAATCAAAAGAGGCATAATAGCCTCATCGTTCATCTTATCATCGACTTCGTTCCATGCTTAGCGTGCTCTGCTCTGGGCCAGCTTCAACAGGAGGCCGGCCCAAGACTGCAAGGAAGGACGGCCTGACTGCGGGACGCCCCCGTAGAGCCGCTGGGTCCGCCATGGCCACAGGCAGCGAGGAGAGGAGTAGGAAGAGAGGGAGTACGTCAAGCAAGGAGAGCTCGCGCCGCATCTGACATCCTACACCTCACACCCATCTTTCCCCACTGAGCTGATTTCTTCTCTTTCCGCACTCCCAAACTCCAACGTGTCATAGCCGACCTGGAACTCCGTCTCTTTCCGCGTGTCATAGCTGACCTGGAACTTCGAAAAGGGCCCCATCGTGTCATGCGCACTCGGGACAATGGAGCTGCGTACATTGGAGGAGCAGGTGGCGTGTGAGCAGGAGGATGCGCTGGAGGAACAAGAGGATGAGGAAGCAGGAAGACGAAAACGAAGGCTAACAGCAGCACCAGCAAGAGCTGAAGTGGAAGGAACGGGAGGAGCAGGAGGACCAGGGGAAGGCGGAGGAGGGGAACGAGGGGGGCGACAACGATGAGGAAGGACTCGGATCCAGAAAAGTGACCCGCGCAGGGGCGAGAAACCTGTCTGAACGATGGGAGCAAAGCGCCGATCCTAAAATGAGGGTAGCGCTGCAGCGGGAGCACCAGTTTGAAGGACCGAAAATGACCGGATTGTTAAAACAAAAAAGCCAGACCAAGGATCAACCCATGAAATCATGTGTTAAAACAATACGCGGAGGTGGGTGGGCCACTCCCCCGCCATCTCCGGGGGAGAAAGGAGGGTAGTATTCATATGAAGTACTTGCGGGGGAGGAGGAGGACGAGGAGGAGGAGGAGGAGGAGGAGGAGGAGGAGGAGGACGAGGAGGAAGAGGAGGAGAGGAAGGAGGGGAGGAGGAGGAGGAGGAGGAGGAGGAGGAGGACAGCAGGAGGGGGAGGAGCAGGAGAGGGAGGGAAAGGCTCCCCGCGCCTCCGCCTCGGGCCCGCCGCTGGGCGAGAGCGCGGGGGGGCAGCTGGCGTGGCGGGGGCGGTCGCCGTCCGCTTGGGTGGCCTCGGCAGGCAAGAGTATCACATGTCTGTTTGTCGTCCTTGCTGCTGGTGGGCGTTTTCTTTTTCGGCGTTTCGGGGGGGAGGGGTCTGGCTCCAGACCTCTGCTTAGTGCGACTGTTTGCAGCAGTGCGTCCTATCGGGGAGACTCCACCTGCTTGAAACATGCGCCCAAAACAGCCAAGATCTACTCCAGGGGGGGGAGCAGAGGGGGGGTGCGAGGGCCCGCGCCGATCGGCAACACAATGTTTAAGAAAGCGATCACCTGTTGCTGGGATGTTGCGATCAAGTGCCAGGTGGTCCCAGGACCACTTACTTTTCCTGCGGCAGGCTGCTGGGGGCGCTCCGCCAAGAACGGCCTCCCTCTTGCTCCTCCTCCACCTCCTCCTCCTTCTCCTCCTCCTCCTCCTCCTTCTCCTCCTCCTCCTCCTCCTCCTTCTCCTCCTCCTCCCTAGGTCCTCTGGGGTCCCAAGCTGCACCCTTCCTTTCCTTCCTTCCTTCTGTTGCTGCTGCTGCTCCTCCGAGCCGCTCCTGCTCCCCCGTATGCCGGATGCGGAAAGAGGAGGAGTACGGGGAGGAGGAGGAGTACGGGGAGGAGGAGGAGGAGAAGAAGAAGGAGGAGGAGGAGGAGAAGGAGGAGGAGGAGGAAGCGATGAAGGAGGAGGAGGAGGAGGAGGAGGAGGAGGAGGAGGAGGGGAGGAGGAGGAGGTCGAGGAGGAGGATGAGGAAGAGGAGGAGGAGGAGGAGGAGGAGGAGGAGGAGGAGGGGAGAAGATGGAGGAGGAGGAGGAGGAGGAGGAGGAGGAGGAGGAGGAGGAGGGGAGGAGGAGGAGGAGGAGGAGGAGGAGGAGGAGGAGGAGGAGGAGGAGGAGGAGGAAGGTCATCTGGCCCCGGGCCCCCGTGCCGCCGCGTCGGCTCCCACGGGGGGGGGCTGGCCCCAGCTCGAGGCCGAGATCGGCTGCGCGTGCACCACGCCTACAACAATTTCTGGGTGCACAGCTTCATCCACCCGTGGGTGATCAATTGCGACTGCAACAAGATCGGTCAGTGGGACAACATTCGCGAGAAGGAGAATTACCGCGGCTCCAATGTCAATCACCAGTTGTTGAACCACGAGGCGAACCACAAAGATACGAGATGTTCCCACTTCTGTGGAGACGTACTGGCAAAGATGCCGAGATATATACGCATAGACGAACATGGGCGCGAACAGACGCGGCCCGAAAACGAGTGGGGTTCAACGTCAGGCATGGGATACAGCCTCGACCCGACGACATCGTTACCACTGCTACAACTGCCCTGGCGCGAGCGTCTAATCACGAGATGCGTGACAGGCAGCCCCAGTGCGAGAACGAGCTACGTAACAGGCAGCCCAAGGACGAGTACCACCACCATTACGACACCAAGTACACCACCAAGACCGAGACCAGGAGCGACACGACCGAGCAGCCCGAACGGGTTACTAAGTACGTCGTCGTGAAAGTACCTGTGGTCAACGGCCGGAGGAGGAGGACGAGGAGGAGGAGGAGGACGAGGAGGATGAAGAGGAGGAGGAGGAAGAGGGGAGGAGGAGGAGGAGGAGGAGGAGGAGGAGGAGGAGGAAGAGGAGGAGAAGCGGGAGGGGGGGAAAAGGAAAGAGGGGCCCTGAGATCTGACGTCGCGAGAAACTGCAACATCGTGAAAAATGCCCGCACCTTACCCGCAACGTTCTCGAGTCTGATCGAGCCGTGCGGGCCCCAGGGCCCGGCCAAGGGCGAAAGCGCCCAGCGTGGCAGCCTTGCGACGCCAGGATCTCCCAGGGGCATCTCCCAAGACATGCGATGTTCTGATTTTTACCTAACAGCGAAGACTGATAGGTTTCTAGTGGTCTCAAAAGAGAGCATCTTGACGCCCCAAGGGGGTCTGGGCGGGATCCGGACAGGGTGCCCCGGGAAACCGGGGACTCCTTTTTTAGCCAACAGTAACGCACTTCGTGGTCTTCGAGTTCCCAGAACTCCATTCCTGGGCATGATTTTGAATGCCCGGAGCCAACTGTAGGCCACTTCGTGGTCTTCGAGTTCCCAGAACTCCATTCCTGTTCATGATTTTGAATGCCCGGAGCCAACTGTAGGTCCTCGAGTTCCCAGACCTCCATTCCTGGGCATGATTTTGAATGCCCGGAGCCAAGTGTAGGGCACTTCGTGTCTTCGAGTTCCCAGAACTCCATTCCCGGGCCACATTTTGAATGCTGAGGCTGAGGCAGATGCAGGCTCAGGCTGAGGCAGGCTGAGGCTGAGGCCGAGGCTGTAGGCAGACTGAGGCCGAGGCTGAAGGCAGACTGAGGCTGAGGCTGAAGCAGGCTGAGGCTGAGGCTGAGGCAGGCTGATGCTGAGGCAGAGGCAGGCTGAGGCTGAGGCTGAGGCTGAGGCTGATGCAGGCTGAGGCTGAGGCAGGCTGAGGCTGAGGCCGAGGCTGAAGGCAGACTGAGGCTGAGGCTGAAGCAGGCTGAGGCTGAGGCTGAGGCAGGCTGAGGCTGAGGCTGAGGCAGGCTGATGCTGAGGCAGGCTGAGGCTGAGGCTGAGGCTGATGCAGGCTGAGGCTGAGGCAGGCGGAGGCTGACGGCCGAGGCTGAAGGTAGGCTGATGCTGAGGCTGAAGGCAGACTGAGGCTGAGGCTGAGGCAGGCTGAGGCTGAGGCTGAGGCAGGCTGATGCTGAGGCAGGCTGAGGCTGAGGCCGAGGCTGATGCAGGCTGAGGCTGAGGCTGAGGCTGAGGCTGAGGCTGAGACTGAGGCTGAGGCTGAGGCAGGCTGAGGCTGAGGCAGGCGGAGGCTGAGGCTGAAGGCAGGAGGCTGAGGCTGAAGCAGGCTGAGGCTGAGGCTGAGGCTGAGGCAGGCTGAGGCTGGCTGAGGCTGAGGCTGAGGCTGATGCAGGCTGAGGCTGAGGCAGGCTGAGGCTGAGGCCGAGGCTGAAGGTAGGCTGATGCTGAGGCTGAAGCAGGCTGAGGCTGAGGCCGAGGCAGGCTGAGGCTGAGGCTGAGGCAGGCTGATGCTGAGGCAGGCTGAGGTTGAGGCTGAGGCTGATGCAGGCTGAGGCTGAGGCTGAGGCTGAGGCAGAGGCAGGCTGAGGCTGAGGCTGAGGCAGGCTGATGCTGAGGCAGGCTGAGGCTGAGGCTGAGGCTGAGGGTGAGGCTGATGCAGGCTGAGGCTGAGGCTGAGCAGCTGAGGCTGAGGCCGAGGCTGGCAGGCTGATGCTGAGGCAGGCTGAGGCTGAGGCTGAGGCTGATGCAGGCTGAGGCTGAGGCAGGCTGAGGCTGAGGCCGAGGCTGAAGGCAGACTGAGGCTGAGGCTGAAGCAGGCTGAGGCTGAGGCAGAGGCAGGCTGAGGCTGAGGCTGAGGCAGGCTGATGCTGAGGCAGGCTGAGGCTGAGGCTGAGGCTCATGCAGGCTGAGGCTGAGGCAGACGGAGGCTGAGGCCGAGGCTGAAGGCAGACTGATGCTGAGGCTGAAGCAGGCTGAGGCTGAGGCTGAGGCAGGCTGAGGCTGAGGCTGAAGCAGGCTGAGGCTGAGGCAGGCTGAGGCAGGCTGAGGCTGAGGCTGCGGCTGATGCAGGCTGAGGCTGGGGCAGAGGCTGAGGCAGAGGCAGGCTGAGGCTGAGGCAGGCTGAGGCTGAGGCCGAGGCTGAAGGCAGATTGAGGCTGAGGCTGAAGCAGGCTGAGGCTGAGGCTGAGGCAGGCTGAGGCTGAGGCTGAGGCAGGCTGATGCTGAGGCAGGCTGAGGCTGAGGCTGAGGCTGAGGCTGCAGGGCTGAGGCTGAGGCAGGCTGAGGCTGAGGCCGAGGCTGAAGGCAGACTGAGGCTGAGGCTGAAGCAGGCTGAGGCTGAGGCTGAGGCAGGCTGAGGCTGAGGCTGAGGCAGGCTGATGCTGAGGCAGGCTGAGGCTGAGGCTGAGGCTGATGCAGGCTGAGGCTGAGGCAGGCTGAGGCTGAGGCCGAGGCTGAAGGCAGACTGAGGCTGAGGCTGAAGCAGGCTGAGGCTGAGGCTGAGGCAGGCTGAGGCTGAGGCTGAGGCAGGCTGATGCTGAGGCAGGCTGAGGCTGAGGCTGAGGCTGATGCAGGCTGAGGCTGAGGCAGGCTGAGGCTGAGGCCGAGGCTGAAGGCAGACTGAGGCTGAGGCTGAAGCAGGCTGAGGCTGAGGCTGAGGCAGGCTGAGGCTGAGGCAGGCTGAGGCTGAGGCTGAGGCAGGCTGAGGCTGAGGCTGACTGCGACTGCGACTGCGAGCAGCGAATTCTACAATTGGATTCTCATCTGAATCTTAAGGGGAATGCTTCCAGATATGCTCCTACACATCGCTGTTAGGTTGCTTTGCCGGCATTATTTTCAAATAAGACGAAGCAAGGACGAGGCTAACATCGGGTGAGGATACATCGAGAATCTCTGAGAGCCGGCGGCTCTGGAAGATGTCTCGGGCGCTGCGGCCTTCTCAGAGCGTTCCGGAACGCTCTCAGAGCGTTCTTGAACGCTCTGGAACGGATTGATCCTCGTCCTAACCCCGTCCGATCAATACGGGGTCCTGAAGTTCCGACCCTTCCCCTGGGACCAGCATTCCATCCCGTGCCGTTCTTGGACAGTCCTGGGGCCCGGCGAGGGCCCCCGCTTGAGGCCGAAAACGACCAAAATCCGCCCGTCAGGATTTTTTACCCATAGCTCGGCTCTCCAACGGCCATTCGGGACGATCCAGGCCCCCCAGGAACGCCCTCGGCGAGGTGCAGCTGCTGGAAAGCACCCCGAGGCTGGAAAACCACGAACCTCGAAGTGCCTTCTTCCAGATCCTGGGATCCGATGTAACGAAAAAGTTGCAACGCCGTGAAAAATCACGACCGAAGCCCGAAGACCCCTACCCCATATTCCTGCGCCATTCTTCGAGCCGGGTCCATGTGTGAGGGCCCTGGGGGACTGAAATGGGGCAAAAAACACTGTTTGAACAAATTCAAACGCCCAGATGTCAGGTCGGCGGCGAGTCCAGGTGGGAAGTGAGAGGGGGCGGGCCTTCTCAGAAGGCTCGGAAGGCCTCCGGCCTTCTGTGCAGTCCTCCAAGCTGTGCCCGAAGAAACAGAGAGCTTCTCAGAAGGCCGGAGGGCTTCTGAGAAGCCCCGCCGCCCTCTGAGCAGGCCTGCTCCTTCTCATCGTCACCTCGGGCGCGCCGCCGATCAGGGGAGCCCGGCCTCGAGGACCGTCAGGAACGTGTTCTCCGGCACGATCGCGCACTCCATCTCGTCCAGGATCGCCCGCAGGCGGCTCTCGTGGCCCCTCCAGCGGCGCTCGGCCTCCGACGCGGCGTCCGCGCTGGGGCTGCTGGCGGAGCGGGCGGCCCAGGCCCATCGCGGCCGAGCGACTTCGACGGCGGAGGAGGAGCATCCGGATCCCCAGGGCAGTGGAGAACTCCACGCGGACTCTTCCCGCAGTCTGCGGCCTCTCTGGGCGGCCCTCGCCGGGCCCCGGGGCCGTCACAACTCGGCTCAGGGTGCAAAGCTGGCCCTGGGGAGCGGGTCGAGACTTCAGGGGGCCACAAGAGCAATGTATCGGCTCTAAGACCTGGCTCAATAGGGAGGGAGCACATCACCCCCATCCTCGGACCCCCCCTCGACCAGGTGGGCGCACGCTTTGCCATGGCTGGCCTCTATTGTGTTCCTTTTTCTCATGGTTATCTCCACTTTTCTTGCTGCGCCCACCTAGGTCCATTTTGTAGGACATAGCGCTGAAGTCGGTCTCGGTCTTGCACGTTGCTGCTGTTTTATACCATCAGAGCGCTGCGAACCCCGAAGCTCAGAGCCTGACCAACGTATTCGACGGAAGAGGAGGATGAGGAAATACACCAGCAGAAAAAGAACAAGGGAATCACCATAGGCTTTTGGAGGTCCAAGCGGACTTCTTGGATCCTAGATCGGTGTTGAACCCCTCTGGCGGCGCCTCTGACGCGCTCCACGCGCCAGGGGGGGGGGTCGAGCGCCGATCCAAAGCATTCGCGCGGACCTCCGTAAGTTTAGGCTTATGAAGTTTGTTATCTTTCGGTTTCGTCTCACTTCTTCTTTCTAATTGATGGGGGAAGACAGCCAGGATATACAGCATAATCGTAGGAATAAAATGGAGAAGCGCTGGCCTCAACATCATCTTGCGGAGGTTCGCGGAGATACACCGTGTTTGGAGCCGCGGCCACGCGCGCAGCGGCGCGGCGTAGGTCGGGCGCGCGCGGGCCGGGCCAGCTCACGCAGCATGGAGACGCCAGATCCACTCATAAGGGATCGACAGCAACACTCGCGAGGGGGTAGTCGTGAGGGAAAAGAGGAGATACACTAGAATAGTAGTAACGATAAGGAGAAGCGCTGGCATCAGCATCAACTTTCTGAAGTCGGGGCGGATTTCTACACCCCTGCTGAGAGTTAGAACATTTCGAAAGTCAAAGTATGGGCTTCGCTCCGAGCGTTTACGTAGACACTCGTCCAGGTCCAGATCTACGACTTATACGGGAACAACAGCTCCCGAGAAAACGCTCAGGGCCCTGTTCAGATTCTTGGTTTTCTTAAACGAGATCAGGAGTCTCTGAATGCTACCATGTTTTTTACGATTTCTGATGGGTGTGGGATGGGCGCTGGACCGCCCTTCCTGGCGCGTCGCCAGACGCGCTTGCCCCCCTCCTCCTGGCCCCCTCTTCAACGTAAACGTAATATTTCGAAGCTTCGCGCTGGGCCCTTCTGGCGGCGCCTCCGGCGCCGTGTCAGGCGCGCTCCGCTCGCCAGGGAGGGGGGTCCATCGCCGATCCAAGAAATCTGCGCGAACCCCCCTCCCCGGCGATTTTCATGTAACATTTTCCTCTTCTGTACGATTTCTGGCGACGAAGTCGACCAAGCGACCCATAAATCTGGCATCGCGGTTTTGCCGTAACTACTAACGAGGTCGAAATCATTTCCCCATGGCTGGCTTTTTGTCGATCCTGTGCTCAGGTGCGAGCACCGTTTCCACTGCAGCGCGTGATTGCGCATGCTTTACTTGAGTAGCTGCAGGTGTGTATGCTTGCATGTACCCATTGCGTAAATCTGTTGAGCGACCCGTAGCCACCGAAGCTCGGATCCAGAATTCACTAGACACGTCTTAGAGCAAAGCGAAACAACTGCGCAATCACAGCGTGATAGCTCCTTGGGTTCATCGAGCCAGTTCTTGACGGCCCCAGGGGCCCTGCGAGGGCCCCGCAGAGAACCCGACGGCCAAGACGAGGGCGGCCCGCGCCAGCGGGCCAAGGCGAGGGCCACCCCCGACAGAGGGCGAGGGCGAACGAGCGAGGGGCCATTGCCGGCGAAGGCGCGGGCGACCGCTGGCGCGAGGGCGAGGGCGGAGTGCGAGGGCGAGGGGCGAGAGGGGTGGCCGCCGGCGAAGACCACCCGCGCCTGCAGGCCAAGGGCCGCCGGCTCCGCCGGCCGCGCGGGGCTCGGCCCCCGGCGCGCCTGCGCTGCTGGGGCGCCCCGCCGGGCAGGGGTCGGCTGCCGCGCTGGCCAAGGCGGCCGAGGCGGCCTGCGCCCGCTGGCGCTGGTTGCGCCGCGCGTACGGCCCCAGGCCGTGCTTCTTGACCTCGGGGCGCCGCGCATCCCCAGACATGCGCGCGTCGAAGCAGGAAACACGGCGGGGTGTTTTGGGCCGTTTTCGGCCTCTGGGGGCCCTCCCTGGCTGGGCCCCCAGACCGTTAGAAACGACTCGGGATGAAGAGCCGGTCTCGGGGGATGGGTCGAGACTTCCAGGGGCCTCAGCATGGAACAAATCAAGACATCGCATGTCTGGGTCCGAGGGGCCGTCTTCTCTCGGACAGGGCGGCCTTTCTTTAAGACAGAGTGGTGGGCCTGACGCAGATGAGTGCCCGGGAAGAGGTGCAACAATTTTTGCAATAGTTTTTGCCCGCGTCAGAGTGACGACAGCTACAGGAATCCGATGACCCAGTCGAATTAATAACATTATCTGCGGGCCGCATAGGGAGGTGGTTCCCGTCTGGCAATCCACTCACAAACCTGGCTCCGGCCTGATATTTCCCCCCATATTCAAGCCAGAGGAGCCCCAAAGTGACGACAGATACAAGAATCCGATGGCTCGTTCGGATTAATAATGTGATTCGCTGGCCCCATGGGAAGGGGGTTCCCGCCTGAGACTTCCTCGCAGAAAGAACTCCCGCCTCAGACTTCCTCGCAACTCACTCACGATGATGGTGTCGGTGTGTTCTTCCTTCGCGGGGATGTCCAGAGAGAACATTGTGTGGTGAACGTGATGGTGATGATGACGATGACGATGAGGATGATGATGGTGATGATGACCGATGAACATCGTGGGATGGTGGTAGTGATAATTGGTGATTATGGTGCGGTGATGGTGGTAATGATAATGATGGTGAGTGTGGGAACATGGTGAAGAGGATAAGGGTGTGAGGTGAGGTGTGCGTGTGTCAGGAGTGCGCGAGATGTCGAGGTCCCCATTAAGGTGTGGGGAGAACACAAATTGCGCAGATGAATCAGCTACGCGGATGCATGGCGGCTCCTTTCCAAAGTTGGGTGTAGATTTTGATTTTTGTGACTTCAAGGACCAGAATCTGGAGCATATGCAACATCACGGATGGAGGGCAGCTTCTTTTCAAAATGGGGCTTTCGCCTGACAGTTCCTCGACGCTCATGGCCATGTATGCGACGTTGGAGCAAGGAGCAGCCAGCTCATAACTGGGTCACAATCTTACTGTAGTTCTCGATGGTCTGGGCGCCGTGGTTGCAACCTGGATCCAAACATCACGCACTTCTCTCAGGAGAATTGGCATGTCGTTCTGTGCGTGGGGGTCGAAATGCCGAACGGTACGATAAGCCAAGAACGCCGTGACCAGCCGGTGTGCATGTGTGGGAAGGCGCCAGGAGAAACAACCTTAGGAAGACTTGGTAACGCCCCGGCCGTGCGCTGGAACGCATCAGTGGGGTTCGGCGTCCCGGCGGCCAATACCATCGACCAAAGGGGAGTACAAAATACGTAATGCGCAAGATCATTCAGACATCCCGCACATCTGAAAACGCAAAGCACGACTACGTCCAGGCGGAGGCGCGAACTGGTCGTCCGTGCATCTTACGAATAGCTGTTGACCGACTGCATGAGTAGACGAACGCCAAGTACATCAACGAGGCCGTGCGGCACGCTCGGCCACACCGTGTGCGAGCGACGGGCAAGGAGCGCCGGTATAGAATCTGAGAACAACGCCGCCCGGATCATCCGCAACCTAGCTCTGCAACTGCGCCTTGGGAGGCCGAACTTGGTCCGCAAGGCGGCGCCAATCAGCTAGTAGCTGGCGAGCTTGGACTACGATAGCTGGTAAAATACGCTCCAGGGCGCGGTGCCAGGGTGATCCGATCGAGGCGTCGTGTAGAACCAAGGCGATGGGGGCGGAGTCCCAGTGGCTAGGAGATACCACTCCGGCTGCAAAGTCGACCACAGAAAGGTGCTCCGCGGCAACGGAACGCAGCATCTCCATATTGTCTTGCCAAGAAGTCACTGAGGTCAGAGATGCTCGAGCCAGTCTTGAAATCAGATCAACCAGCATGCTGTCGATGTGTACCGATCACCAGATATGAAGACAGAACGTATCCTCGCGAGAGCAAGACTTGGGTGGAATGCGAAGAAGACGATGAAGGGCATACAGTTCATGACGAAGAAACCACTTGGGAGGAAGGGCAAGTTGTCCGATGTGGGCGTGGACGTTGTAGAGAATGGTAGCGGGAGCAAGGGGAGCACCAGTAGCAGCGATCGCGGGGACACGCGAGTGGTATTTCTCAGCTGGCGTACGCCACAGAAGGTTGCCGACTATACCCCAAGATGTGCACCAAGATATTTTGCGACAGGGGCGATTACAACGTCGATCCAATCGGGGAGGCGCCCGGCAATCCAAAAACGAATTGTCGCTGCGAGGTCGTCCGACCAAGGACGAACAGGAACCAAGCAGAACTTTCGAAATTTGAATGTGAGTCCTGCCAGAAGCCTCGCAAACTTGAAGATGCTCGCCATTGTGGGAAGGGTTTCCAACGATTTAACTGCAAAGCCAACGTCGACCAGACATGCTCGTGCATTACCCTTGTTCTGCCTGACGATGGCGTGCTCGAGCCAATTCAAGAAAGGGTCGAAGGCCAGGACGAAGCAGAAACTTGCCAGAGGGCACCCCTGGATAACTCCACGAAGAATGAGAAGTAACGTGGAACTCTTCATGCCAGCGCGGCTGACTGTAACGACAGACGCGCGAATGGCACGAAGGACATGGACCAGGCCCAGGGGCAATCGAGAGGCAGAAGGAACGAGGAACAACCACTGGTGAATCGTCGAGGGGAACGCGCCCCCGAAGTCAGTGAAGAGGAGGAATGGGCAGTGGAGGGCTGGCTGCATAGCGTATGCTATGCCGTGGGAATCAAGATCTACGACGTTGTCCAAAAAGTTCTTGCCCGCCACGAACTCATTATGTTGTCGAGAGGCTTTCTCTGCGACTGCATGCTTGATGGATGAGTGGATGGACCCGCGTATGATCTTGACGTCAGAGTTCTTGAGCCCAATCGGTCTGGTCGACATGGGCCCATGTACGACTGCACGGTCGTCATCTTCTTCGGCACCCTTCGGGATGAAGGTGGTCAGTGTGTCATTGAAACCGACCAGGAGGTGCAAGCCAGAAGAGATCCAAGCTCCCACTTCATGAAGAAGGGTCCAAACTGGAGGTCCTGCACGAAGCCATGCACAGTGAGGGATGCCATCGCTACCTGGTACCGTATGCCGTGCGCGACGGAGAAAACTGCGGGGACGTCGACGGAGGACGGTGGGCCGTTGCAATCGTTCATGGTGAAGTCCGAGGAGAACCGCGCGCCAACCGAGCGGGCGAGATCCTCACTGACGGGAGCCGCGGTGGAGAATGCCGGCTCCCATGCGTGCGCGAGCGTCTGCATCTGCTCGTCCTCTTCCTCGATGTTCCTGTCGCCGCTGCGGATAGCTGTGATGTGGGACTGTTACCGAAAGGTGTCCGAATCTTCCGGAGTCGGTCGAAAGCGGAGCGTCGGCGGCGACTCGCGTTCAGTTGAATAAGTGACGTCCGGAATTCATGAAATCGTCGCTCAAAGGCTGCGGACCTGATGTCGTCGTGTAGGGATGAGAACGCCGACGGATTAAGCAAGCGAACGCGGTCGTGCTCAACCATGAGGTGCTGCCGAGCATGTTCTGATACTCCCGGCAGGGTGAACGCGAGCCTGGTGTCATTGTGCCAGACAGCCCGCGCGATAGACGAGCACACGGAGGCGCGAGCATCGTGACTAGCAGCAGGGGGAACGAGACATGTGTTTCTGGTCATCCGTGCCGCAACCTGGATAAGGCGCTAAGCCGCAGCGGTACCGAAAGAGACGCGAGGTCAGTGGCGTCCACGAGCAGTGCAATATTCTCAGAAAGCAATGGGTGATCAACAACAAACTAAGGAATAGGACGAATTTGCAGCGGAAATTAGGGACGGTAGGAAAAGATGAAGGCAATGGGGGCGTGGTCGCTGATCTGCTGCTGAGCTGGTGATGGCAGAGGAAGGGGTCTCGCAAGAGCTTCGCGCGCAACCCGAGCTGAAGGAGCCACGGGGGCGAAGCAACGTAGAGGCGATCCAACCGGCCAGAAGATGAAGTAGTATAATGAAAATGCGTGTCGAAGGGTTGATGGACCTCCGTGAGCTGATCCAGCATGCGTTACCACGCAGCCTAGTTAGGGCCAGCCGCCGCGCTGGCCGCCAGGACACTGTGGCGCGAGAGTGTGGAGAAGCCAAATTCGGAGAAGGATCGTCGGAAATCGCCGGGGGCGAGACAGTTGAATTCGCCAGCAACTATCAGGACGTTGTTGTGCGGATCAGCCTGGACTGCGGCAGCATCGCGTGCCATCATCGTCAAGCCGCGCTGTGCGTCCGCAGATGCCAAGCCATAAATATGTATATTCCAGTGCGCTCACGTGTAGTCGCCAATGGAGGGAGTTACTCGTAGAATGCGCCAAGGGACAGGAGAAGAATGCGCAAATTCAATGTCGGAGCCTGGGAGGGGGGCCAGGGCGAGCGTTACGACAGATCCTTCGTCTTCCTTTTAGCTGGCAACGCCGTCGGGGGTGAAGGAGTGGAACATCATGTAATGGTCGAGAAGCGGAGACAATAAGCGAGACACCTTTTCAGGAGTTCCGTGAACTTCCTGGATGGCAACAACGTGCTGTATGCGGTCAGGAGAACGAAGAAGATCTCGGAGGAGACGAGCTTTCAAAAGACGGCGCTGGGGGAGATGGTGGCTCAAGCCATTTTGGCTCACGGCTAGAGCTCAAGTCAAAGCTCTTCGATCTTTACCTCACGCGGTAAATTTCGCCGTAGCCTAAGATACAATTACATTTTCAACTTCCTCTTCTCACCTTGCCTCGTACGCCTTGCTGCGATGGCTTCCGCTCCCAAACGTGGTCGCGCGTCTGCCTCCGGCGATGTCGACGTGGTAATCGAAGACGAGGACGACCCCTTCGAGGCCTTCCGGACAGAAATCCTGGGGCACGTGGACAAGACCATCCAAAGTTTCACCGAGAAGTCCATGGCGGCCGCTGTCAAGCCGGTGTCACCGAGAAGTCCGAGCGTCGCTTCCAGGTCGTGGAGTCCGAACTTGCTGATGTGCGTCGGGCCAGAGCTGAGATCGCGCGCGTGCAGGAGGAGCAGCAGAAGATCGTCGCAGACTTGCAGCGTGCTGTTGTTGTGGCGGAGGCCACCGTGCCCATCAAAGATTCCCTCGCCTCGACCTTTCGGAGTTCCACCGGAAAATTGTCAGCACGACCCTGCGCCTAAACAGCCCGGAGCCCACAACCAAGATCGGACTTGATAACGCCATCCGTTCCTTGGCTTAACGATGCTGGATGCGGGTCTGATAACGGGGCTGTTCTCCTCGGCCCTGACACCTTCAGGCGCTTCATAATGCAATTCAAGGGCAACGCTGGGGTTGCCGGAAATCGAGCCAGGAAGGCTCGCGGGATACTTAAAGCCAGTGACGGCGAATGGAGGCCGTTCCCCAACTACCAGACTGTATCTGGAGCAGCTCCTTCGACAATAGACATCGATTTCGACAAGAACCCTTGTCAGCAGAAGCGGGAACGCGATGGCAAGCGACTCACCCGATATTTTCAGCACCTGTACCCGAACAAACATTTCAGTTGGAATAAGGTTGACGGCCTCATCAAATTCGACGGCGTCCCTCGGGCGCAGTTGGAGCCATGCAATGAGGACAACCCGTCCCACGTGCAGTGGAACTTATCACAAGTGGCTGTTGCACAACTTGACAGAGAGGCGATCCAAACAGAATTTGAGCGCCGCGCCCGACGACCCGTGCATCAGGTTACGTGGTCTGGGTAGCAGGATACTGCTCACCTGGAGGTTATCACCTGTGTCGGTCGGCTTCGTCTCTTGGGACGCACGCTCATGGTCATGAATTGAAGCCTGTGCAAGGGTTACACGGACGGCAGCGGCCTGTTAAAAACAAGGATCTTGCTGAACATCATTTCGAACTGTATGGTCATACTTTCTGAACGTTCGTTCGTTCCTTTTAAACACGGGGCTTCCACCTACATGGCAGGCGCATCGAATGCTGGTCGTTCACAGTGGCGCTTTCTGAAATGGAACGGAAGGCTGATGGGGGACGTATGAGGAGGGGACTTGGGACGGTAAGGCCCTGGAGTGCGCCAGCTCCCGATCATTGTGCTCGGGCAGATTGCGCGCGCCGCAGGGATAACGAGGAGGAGGATGCGGAGGCAAATGAGGATGATAATGGGCAGGACGAGGATGCACAGCCCGTGCCCCTCATCATCTTCCTCATCGTCCTCATTCTCTCCTTCTCCTGAAATCTTGAGATCCTGAAGGCGAGAAGATCTATGAGACGTTCTCCTCCTCCTCCTCCTTCTCCTTTTCCTGTCCTTATGAACAACTTTTCTCGATCACGCCCCGAAGCCAATCGGAAGGGCGGGCTGGGCGTTTCGCTTGAAACCTCTTTGCGATTTATGAACCTCGAGCTTAAAGCTGGCAACAGTTTCGCAGATAGAGGGCGGGCCGCTTCCAAACTGTGGCTCTCACCCTAGCGCCGCGCGCATTCCATCAAAGATACAGGAAGAGTTTCACGTATGGAGGGCGGTTCATTTTCAATATGTGGTTCTCGCTTTAGCGCCGCGCGAAATCGTTTTAAAACTTTGCAAACGCTTCAGTGGTTCTCATGGTTGACGTGCCAGAACATGTGTCTTGGAACGATTCAGGATTGTCAGGGCGCAATAATTACGTTGATTCGCGGTGTAGAAATCCCGGGAATGGTGTTCTGGCACGATTCAGGGTTATCAAAACACAGTAGTCAAGTTGATTCGTGGCGTTGAAGTCCTGAGACTGGTGTCTTGACACGCTTCAATGTTTTTTTCACACGGTTGCCCCCCACCGGGGCACTTCCCTGAGTGGAAATGAACCCTTGTAGGGGCATCAGAAGAAGGAGCTTCGAGGGAAGATGTATTCCAACATCGTTTATGAATCTTGGGTTTACACTGGTCCTCTTCCTCCTCCTCCTCCTCGTCCCTTTCGCGCGACCTTGCCCGGCAAGGATGACGCCCTCGGCGTCCTCCCGCGCCGAGCCTCCGCGTCTCCAGTGGGGCAGCCTCGCGCGCCCGCGGCTTCCTCGCCGCTCGCCGCCGGGGGTGAGGAGGCGAGGGCGCGGGGGGAAAGGTGCGGAGGAGGGAAGAGAAGGGAAGGAGAGGACGGGGGAGGGTAGGGACGAGGGAGGAAAGGCGAGGAGGAGGGAAGAGGAGTGAGGGTGAGGAGGGTAGGGGCGAGGAGGGGCGAGGAGGAGGAGGGATGGATATATTTTTTGTGACTGCGCTGGGCTTGTTCTTCTCCAAACAGCTTGCTGAACGGGGTGCATTTGTAGTCTGGGCCGTTTCGCCTGATTCTCACAACTCTCGTTTCTGAGTTGTCCGGGGTTGGCTGTTTCGCATGACATATCCTCGAAACTCTGGGCTTCAAGATGCCGTGCGAGAGGTTGTCTGGCGCGATTCGCCTGAGACATCCTCCCAATTCTGAGCTCCCAGACGCCGCGCGCGAGGTGGTCTGGGCCGTTTTTGCCTGAGACATCCTCGAAACTCTGGGCTCCAAGATGCCGTGCGAGAGGTTGTCTGGCGCGATTCGCCTGAGACATCCTCCCAATTCTGAGCTCCCAGACGCCGCGCGCGAGGTGGTCTGGGCCGTTTTTGCCTGAGACATCCTCGAAACTCTGGGCTCCAAGATGCCGTGCGAGAGGTTGTCTGGCGCGATTCGCCTGAGACATCCTCCCAATTCTGAGCTCCCAGACGCCGCGCGCGAGGTGGTCTGGGCCGTTTTTGCCTGAGACATCCTCACAGCTATGCGCTCCGAGATGCCATGCGCGAGGTGGTCCGGCGCGTCTCGCCTGAAACATCTATTATTCGTCATAATGTCGCAGTAGTGATAATGATCGTGATAGTTAATAGTAGGAGGAGGAAGATGGGGAGGAGGGAGGAGGCGGAGGAGAAGGAGGAGAAGGAGGACTGGGAGGAGGACTGGGAGGAGGAGGAGGAGGAGAAGGAGGAGGAAGAGGAGAAGGAGGAGGAGGATGATGAAAAAGAGGAGTAATCGCAGTAGTAGCAGTAGTAGTAGTAGTAGTAGTAGTAGTAGTAGTAGTAGTAGTAGTATTTAGTAGTTAGTATTAGTAGTTAGTAGTTAGTAGTTAGTAGTTAGTAGTTAGTAGTTAGTAGTAGTAGTAGTAGTAGTAGTAGTAGTAGTAGTAGTAGTAGTAGTAGTAGTAGTTAGTAGTAGTAGTTAGTAGTAGTTAGTAGTAGTTAGTAGTTGTAGTAGTAGTAGTAGTAGCAGTAGTAGTAGTAGTAGCAGTAGTAGTAGTTAGTAGCAGTTAGTATTAGTTAGTAGTAGTTAGTAGTAGTAGTAGTAGTAGTAGTAGTAGTAGTAGTAGTAGTAGTAGTAGTAGTAGTAGTGGTCAGTGTAGTGTATTGTATTTCGTAGTATTCGTAATAGTGGTAGTAGTAGTAGTAGTAGTAGTAGCTCGTAGTTAGTAGTTAGTAGTTAGTTAGTAGTTAGTAGTTAGTAGTTAGTAGTTAGTAGTTAGTAGTTAGTAGTTAGTAGTAGTTAGTAGTAGTAGTAGTAGTAGTAGTAGTAGTAGTAGTAGTAGTAGTAGTAGTAGTAGTAGTATTATTATTATTAGTAGTAGTAGTAGTACTAGTAGTAGTAGTAGTAGTAGTAGTAGTAGTAGTAGTAGTAGTAGTAGTAGTAGTAGTAGTAGTAGTAGTGTAGTAGTGGTAGTAGTAGTAGTAGTAGTAGTGTCGTAGTAGTGTAGTAGTGGTAGTAATCGTAGGTTAGTCGTTAGTAGTCGATTAATGCGTTAGTATTAGTTTAGCAGTTTTAGGATAGTTTGTATTTTTTTTAGAGTAGTAGTAGTAGTAGTAGTAGTAGTAGTAGTAGTAGTAGTAGTAGTAGTAGTAGTAGTAATAGTAGTAATCGTAGTAGTAGTCGTAGTAGTAGTAGTAGTAGTAGTAGTAGTAGTAGTAGTAGTAGTAGTAGTAGTAGTAGTAGTAGTAGTAGTAGTAGTAGTAGTAGTAGTAGTAGTAGTAGTAGTAGTAGTAGTAGTAGTAGTAGTAGTAGTAGTAGTAGTAGTAGTAGTAGTAGTAGTAGTAGTAGTAGTAGTAGTAGTAGTAGTAGTAGTAGTAGTAGTAGTAGTAATAGTCGTCGTAGTGGTCGTAGTAGTCGTAGTAGTCGTAGTCGTAGTACTAATACCAGTAGTAGTAGTAGTAGTAGTAGTAGTAGTAGTAGTAGTAGTAGTAGTAGTAGTAGTAGTAGTAGTAGTAGTAGTAGTAGTAGTAGTAGTAGTAGTAATAGTAGTAATCGTAATAATAGTCGTGCAGCCATTTTCCCATTCCAGCCTTAAATTCCAACGCGCGCGTGGAAGCCCTTAGGTCAGGGCCCTAACCTTCTTCTGTCTGAGTCAGACTAGCAAAAGCTTAGCCAAGAGCATGAAGCTTGAACTTACGATAGGCGAAAGCAACGAAAAAATGGCTTGGGGCATGCGAGAAAAAAACCACCAAGACCGCGAAAGCAAAGCTGTCAACCGTGGACTTACCCGTGTGTGGCCCCCCCTCTCCCTCCTCCATTGCGCAAAGCTGGCTCGCGGGCCGAGCGGCGCAGTCCCCGCCTGCATCCCGCTGCGCCCAATGGGGGGGGGCAATGGGGTGGGTGGGTGCCACGCGCTGGCTTCGCGCTCGTCTGTGCACGTTCCGACATGTGGTTGCGCGTTCCGACATGTGGTCACAGCGAAAGAGCAGCCTGGACTTTCCGGGCGCGTCTTCAGGCGTAGTCGCTCGCGTAGATGGTATTTTTTTTTCGCGCGCGCCGGAGTTGGATGGTGCGCTGCAGCGGTCGCGTGTACATTCGACGTTGCCGCTTTACGTTGGCGCGCGTGCGTTTCGGCGCGACGCGGCACTGGGGCGCCCTCGCTATGTCGCGACAGTGGGCGGAATTCAGCACTCTGCCAGCCGCCGCCGCCAGAGCGGGAACGCCCCCCTAGGGTAGCTATCGCAACAATCTCCCAGAAGCCGTGTAGAAGCCGCTAGAAGCCGTCTAGAAACTGGTCTAGACACCGGTCTAGAAACCGAAATGATTTACATAGGACCTGGTCGAATCCTTTCGAGCAAAAAACAATTTTGAAATCTTTGAAAAGTGCTCACAGCGGTTTCTAGACCAGTTTCTGAAACGCTTCTGGTGGTCTCTGCGCGGTTTCTAAAATTTCAGTGCGCACGCCGCGCGGTGTCGTTTGAGGGCGACGTCGCAATAGTCGCGCCGACTCTGGCTGCGCGGTGCTGCCCCGTGCCGGCGACTAGTAAAACGGCAGGCATGCCACGCGGAGTGGTTCGGGGAACACCAGTTGTCATCGAACGATGCAACTGAAAACTTACAGTTGAAGTGGAAAATGGCTGTAGTAGTAGCAGCAGCAGCAGCATTAGTATTAGAATTATTAGTATTATCATTATTATTATTATTATTAGTAGTAGTAGTAGTAGCAAAGTCGTAGTAGCAAAGTAGTAGTAGTAGTGGTAGAGGTAGTCGTAGTAGTAGTAGTAGTAGTAGTAGTAGTAGTAGTAGTAGTAGTAGTAGTCGTAGTAGTCGTAGTAATAGTAGTCGTAGTAGTCGCAGTAGTAGTAGTAGTAGTAGTAGTAGTAGTAGTAGTAGTAGTAATAGTAGTAATGCTAGTAGTAGTAGTAGTAGTAGTAGTAGTAGTAGTAGTAGTAGTAGTAGTAGTAGTAGTAGTGGTAGTAGTAGAATCGTAAGTAGTCGTATATTCGTAGTCGCAGTCTAAGTCGTAGTAGAAGTAGTTGAGTCGTATAGTCAGTAGTAAATAGTAGTAGTAGTAGTTAATAAACGTGAAAAATAAGAAAATACGTATAAAAAAGACAGTATTAGTAGTCCGTAGTCGTAGTCGTAGTCGTAGTAAGGAGGGTAGTAGTAGTAGTAGTAGTAGTAGTAGTAGTAGTATTAGTAGTATAAGTAGTAGTAGTAGTAGTAGTAGTAGTAGTAGTAGTAGTAGTAGTAGTAGTAGTAGTAGTAGTAGTAGTAGTAGTAGTAGTAGTAGTAGTAGTAGTAATAGTAGTATTAGTAGTAATAGTAGTAGTAGTAGTAGTAGTAGTAGTAGTAGTAGTAGTAGTAGTAGTAGTAGTAGTAGTAGTAGTGGTGATCGTAGTAGTCGTAGTAGTAGTAGTAGTAGTAGTAGTAGTAGTAGTAGTAGTAGTAGTAGTAG